ATGGCTCAGTAAGATCATGGCTGATCTAGGAGTAACAGCTTATTTAGTTACTCAAGGACTAACCACTTAAATCAAATGAAAACTGTCTAAATCATTCTAGTATTACACTGTCACAAAGCAGATAAATTAATCTGAGCTACATAATGTCTTCAGGCATTCCTATTCTGTCTTTGAAACCAGTAAAAAAGTCAGTGTATTTTATCTCTTGTTCACACAAGAGCCTTAGCATTTTTACTTCCTTATCCTTTTCCTAACATGCCTGTACTTTCTCTTGGCTAAACACATAGGATAAAATTTAAAAACACCTCCCAGTTATTTTCTTAAAATTTAATATTGGGTGTTTTACCATCTTATACATTATAATTTCATCAACTGCTCAACATATGCAATGTTAAAGCTTACTTTCCTGAATGGTCATATCTTTTTATTCCCTATTATGTCTGCATGTTCCCACTATTTCTTCTTTAATTGTCTTTTCTATGTCTGTCTTTTCTATTCACTTGTAACTTATTGAGACAGGGTCTCAGTATGTTGTCCTAGCTGGCCTGAACTTGCTATGTAGACCAGGCTGGCTGCAAACTTAGGAAGAGCTTCCTGCCTCTGTCTTTTGAGTGCTGGGATTAGAGGCATGTACCACCACACCTGGCCTTGTAGTGATATATTGTGTACCCTAATAAACTTGCCTGGAGATCAGGGGACAGAGCCAGCCACTAGATTAGACATAGAGGCCAGACAGTGGTGGCACTCACACCTTTAATCCTATCACTCAGGAGGCAGAGATCCATGTGGATCTCTGTGAGTTCAAGGCCACTCTAGAAACAGAGCCAGGCAGTGGCAGCACACACCTTTAATCCCAGTGCTGGGAAGCACACATGTCTTTAATCCCAGGAAGTGATGGCAGGGTGAAGAAAGGTATACAAGGCGTGAGGAGACAGGAACTAAGGCTGAGGATTTTAGTCAGAGGATTCGTGGAGTTGGTGACGTAATAATAGGTAGTGGCTGTGGCTTGCTCTGCTTCTCTGATCTTTCAGCTTTCACCCTAATATCTGGGTCTGTATTTTTTATTAAAAGACCATCTTAGATTCGAAGAACACGACCTTATTTATTTTTATGTGTGAATGTTTAGCCTGCATATATGCATCTTTGAGCTTCATTGAGATCACAAAAAGAAGACAAACAACTATCCAGTATTCTTAAGAGAACTAACCTTATCGAATGTTTAAAGGCTTCATGTTGACATTCTTTTTTTTTTCTAGTTTTTTGAGATAGAGTTTCACTGTGTAACCACCCTGGCTGTCCTAGAACTTGCTCTGTAGACCAAGCTGGCCTTAAACTCACAGAGATCCACCTGCTTCTGCCTCCCAAGTGCTGGGATTACCCCCCAAGGGCTGCAATTAAAGGCCACCAACCCACACCCACACCCCGCCACCCCACCACCACCACCCCAGGCATATTAACATTCTTAAGTTGAAAATGATACTGAATTTTAATAAATTTAACATGTGTTTTGTCTGTATTGTCATCTTTTCTTTCCAACCAAACACAGAGAGAGGTGGTTTTGTTTAACTGGATACTCCTCCGAGGTATAGTATTTTCTACACAAAGCAGGTGCTGCAGAAGTGTGTGTGTGTGTGTGTGTGTGTGTGTGTTTGACTCCAGCTGTTCTGGGCGAGACACATACATCCTTGTGCTTCCCAGGAGTGCTGTCCGCTCACATATGCCCTTACTTGAGGCCTTCTGGAACATCCTCATCCTAGCCTGAGCCAGGCTCTCTGTTGGGAGCTGGAAATATAAAGAAGAGTGGAGATAAGAACCTGGCACAATACAGGCCTTTACAGTCTATTAGGGGTTAGACATAAGTCAAGGACAATGGCAATAACCGTGCTGTGTATGCAGTAATTAAGACATATGTGAATTGTGCTGTGGGAGGCAAAAGAAGGGAAGTAAACTCCCTCTGACTCACTGAGCCGGGGCTTCTCGGGAGATATGGTTTTCAACTGGCCGAGAAAAGAGAGAGGGATTTGTGAAAGTGTCAAAGGAATGGATGAAACTCAGTGTGTTGGGAATGAAGAGTAACGAGATGAATGCCCCAAACTAGGCTGAAGGCGGATGTGGGCTTGCTTGTGAAGGAACAGTATGACGTGTGGGGTCGTACCAAAGAACGGCTGTTCGCTAGGCCAAGTCCGAGCCAGAGCCAGTGCCACTGAAGGAGTTATTTTGGGAAGCCAACAACCTGGTAAAAATATATATTATTATTTCGCCTTTACCTACCCCCCTACACACAAAGAGAGAGAAAGAAGCAGAGAGACAGAGACAGAGACACAGAGTTCATGTATTCACTTTGGATCTTCTGACCCTAGCTTATTTATTCAACTTTGTTTACTATGACTCTCTTGAACACCCACCAGCCCCCACAACCTAACAGTGAACCCCAGTTTATGTCATTTCTTTTGCCTGAAAATAGATCAAGGCTAATTCTTTCCACCTGACCCCCTTCCTCTGGCCTCCTAGAGTCCACAGAGACTAGGCTGTAGTTTGTGGTGTTTTGTTGCTATTTGGTGTATTGTTCTCCAGATGTCCGAGGCATCCCTCTCTCCTGTATGCACATAAATTGTCTGGGAAGTGGATGCAAGCTCTATAAGATCAAATGAACCACATTCCTTGCTCAACACTGTATCACTGATGCTACCCTTATTCGTTCTGAACAACAAAGGTTCTCCAAACACATTCAAAGGTCATTAAGCATATTTTTCGTTTGATGTGATTTTTTTTAAATTTTTTTTAACTGAAGCTTTTCAGTTGTCTAGAGCAATATAAAGCACATAGTAGATGCTCAATATGTATTTGTCAAATTAATTATAAAAATGACTATCAAGATATTAGGGATTTTATCTGTCTTATCCACCATTCTGCCCAGCACTCTTTCACATTCAGTACTTGAAAACTGTATTAAATAATGAGGCACAATTGTGTCCTTTCTTTCTTATATAGTGCTACACTTTTGAACCATGGTAGATATTCAATATATATATGTAATTGGTGGTTTAAAAATGAAATAGATTTAAGGTTTACTATTGAACTTTGTAAAATTATGGACCCAATTCTTCCCTTGATAATCAAGATATTATAAATGCACTTATACACACAGAGCAATTTTTTTCATCTACAACTACTGACTTTTTTCTTTGTGAAAGAATACTGATTCTTAGTCAGTGTGGTGGCGCACGCCTTTAATCCCAGCACGCAGAAGGCAGAGGCAGGTAGATCTTGGAGTTCGAGGTCAGCCTGGGCTATGGAGTGAGTTCCAGGACAGCCAGGGCTACACAGAGAAACCCTGTCTAGAAAAAAGCAACAAAATACCCATTCTTTCACAATTTTATATACATATAAAAATGTACTTTGTCACACACACACACACAAGTTATTTACATATAGTCCACGGAACCCATTTAGTGTGCTCTTATAGGCACATATTTGGGGCTGAACACTTGGGATAAAATACGAGGTTGTGAGTTTGAGAGGGAGTTGTGAGGGCATGGAAGGAGTCCAGAAGATGGAAGGGAGGAGTGGGAATTCAGGTAAATGCAGAGCTCACGCTGGCAATTCTCAAAACTGAAAAAAACTGAGGTTTTCTTTCTTTTTAAGGAGAGGGATGTACTTGGGTCATAGGACCTCTCCTGTCACCTCCCCAGACACCAAATGACTCCAAATTCCTCATTTTTCCCAGCAAGGCCCCACTCTACTTTTTTTGTGCATTGAATTAGGGTCGCCTACATGAGCATGAGTGGGAAGGTATTGATGAATGAGGGCAGCTAACCAGTGGCTGCACCACTGGAGAACGTGACTTCCTCTCCCCAGTAACCATTAAGCCGACAAGTCCCTCCCCTCTCATGATGGGGTGTCAATGAGCCCACTGGCATGCAGGACTTGTGCATGCAGCCACTGTCGCTGTGAATTTATGAGGTCAAAAGCAATGTCACATCCAAAAGAAACCGAGAGCAATGTTACAGAAATCGCTGATTTGTTTTCTTCTGAGACATAATCTAATCTATCTATCCCTAGTTATCCTGGAACTTACTCTGCAGTTTAGGCTAATCTGGAACTTACAATTCCCCTGCTTCAGCCTCCCAAGTGCTGGAAATTTAGGTCTATACCACCAGATCCATCTAAACTGAATTTTCAAGAGATAGAAATGTTAACTGTGAGTAGATGATGGGTATAGGGTGGTCTATACTATATAAGAATAATGTAAGAATTATTCCATACTATGCAAGAATAATACCAGACAATTAGATGAAGAAGGCTTGCTTAGTGAATAAAAGAATAGCCCTTCATCTGAGACCACTGGAAAACAGTTTAGCAACGGGTATCATCTTGCCATGCATAGATTATTTAGATTTACTTAAAGAGCCTTCCAGAAAAGCCCCACTAGGCATACTTTCCTTCCATTCACAGTATGGGAAATTAATTTTGGTTCTTCAGGTAAGTGTTGATAAGGGAGGGGTACACTTCAGTGATAGGGTGCTCACATGGCTCACACACACACACACACACACACACACACACACACACACACACAAAATGCATGATACTTTTTGTAAACACAACCTTATCATAAATTTATGACCAAAAAAGTTGTTTGTTTGTTTGTTTTTAAAGAGAAAGAAAAAGAATATAAAGTTGGGTGGGGAAGATCTGGGAGCAATTGGAGGAGGGAAAAACATGACTATGATGTACGAAAAGAATTTCTAAAAGTACAACAACAACAAAGAAGTTAAGTCGTTGAAAGGAAGGTTTCAAAGTATATCCGACCCTGTATCATGCAACTGGGAATTTGAGAGAACTAAAGAATTATAGGGAAAAATTCCTAGGGAACAGCTAACGTCAGTTACATGCGTCTCCTCTCCGGAGTTGGTGAAATTCCTTTTCATTCAATCCTGATGTCATGCTGAGTCATAAAGCGTAGTGTTCCTCCGAACACATCTCTGGAAGTCCTGTTAGTCATCACTACACTCAGAGCTTGAGGCCAGTGCCATTCCCACTCCCCCTATTCTGCAGCAGACAACCCCAGCTCCTCGAATCCTCCTGCCCTCCCCCCTTCTAACACTCTTTCCTTGAGGAGTAATAACTATAGCTTTGGGGATAATATAGCTTTAAGACAACTTTTGGCAGATGTGAATGTCCCAACATCTGGGCAGTGTTACCAGAATCCCGGAGGCCCTGACAGACCAGGAGCCACTGGTTCTAGGAATGTTAAAGTAGAAGGGTTTTTTTTCCCCCGACTGATGAGAGGAGCAGAGAGCGAGGAGAAAGGAGAGAAGGAGACCGCAAAAAATAAAATAAAAATCAGGTAAGGACTGCACTTAATTCCTCACACTGTACTGCCCCATTTCACAGCTGTGCAGAGGTCAAAAGACCCGAGACTTTAGCTGCTATGGCTGGAGGTGGAGGGGAGGGAAACTTTTTAATGAAATTGGATCATATGCTGTTTTCATTTGTGCTGGCTGCAGATGCATGTTCCTGCTCTCGTCTCAGCTTCCAGCAGAAGGATGGCTCCCTCCGGTGAGTCAAATTTTTCAGTCTGAGACTGGGGAGAAGGTGGGCAGGAGAGAGAGAGGTCAGAGGCTCTAAGAGTCTGGGGGCTGACACAGGAAAACCTTTATTCCACTGCGAAGGGAATAACACGGGAGAAGGGTTAGTGATTAGCTCATTTCCCTGGCTCTTTTTTAAACTCGTTTTCTGTTCCCACTTGGTGCTTTAATCATCTATTTCCTTTCAATTTTCTTTTCCTGACAGCATCCTCACCACAGCTTTCCATTTTCTTCACCTCCATTCCTGACTCTCACTTTTCCCTCTCTCCTACTTCATAGACACCCCAGATCTAAAAATCAAGGAGTAATGACTTGGAAAATGAGTTTTTGGCTTTATTGGGTGGCCCTTTAAGGACCCTGCCCAGACCCTGCCATTGTTTTTTGTTTCTCCGTCTCTGAGACCGACTCCTCCTCTGAGCCTGGCGTTGCATGGGAAGCATGTGGGTCAAGGGATGCTTGTGGAAAGGTCCAGTGACTAGTTTCTACTGATGAGCAGCAAGTTTTAGTGCTGCTGCTTGGGGAGTATTTGTCCAGTGGCACCACAGAATTCTCTCATCGCATCTCATTAGTGTGAAAGATTTCCCCAGAAAGGAAAATGAGTTAGCAATAGGAGCTTGCTCCTATTTTCCTTGTGGGCCTCATTAGGTCCTCTTCAACCGCTCTGCTTTCCTGCTAGTTCAGCAGGGCAAGACTGGAGGGGTAGGCTGGACTTGAAAGCCAGAAGTGACTGTCAAACCACTAAGCCTCAAACCCCAAAGCTAAGAGGAGAGCAGAACTATAGTTAGTGCCTGGAAACGCCCTGTCTTGTCCGATATGAGGCTAGCAATAATAATGTGAAAACACACTGATGGTTTCCCTCTGTAGCAGGCAACAATAGATCCCATGAGGTGGGTACTATTGTTCTTGTTCTATATGTGAACAGACAGAAGAGTCTTAGAAAAGTTACCTCATTTGCATATTGGTAACAGAACTGGATCCATATCTAGATCTGCCTCAGTCTGGAGCTCAAGTCTTAGACCATATATGTCAATGCTTTCCCAGATTTGTGCTTAAGAAACACTGAGTGGACAAAATCCCTCACTAGCAGCCTTTGGATTTCCGGAATTCCCTCCTAGTTCTGTGTGACTTTATGTTAGCATTTCCCTGGTCTTGGAACTTCAATGTCCCTCCCTGTGACTTGGACCATGAAATATTCACACTGGATGGGACTAGAGTAAGTTGAGGATTAGTTGCTTGATGCCCTCCTTTTTTTGCTTGGAGGAAGGGGGATCATAACTCCAAATAAGTCTTTTTATCCTATGAAGTAGGAAAGGTTTATGAGCCAGATTATGCAAGTGGAATTGATTAATGTTAACATTTTCTTCCTCACAGATTCCATATATCTGCTGCTTCTCACTTTGGGGAGTTCATAGCTGGCACAGTTCTGAAAGTCATTTTCCCTTACTCTGATACTTCTGGCCACATTGCCCTATTCTTGTCTCCCGAAGCTTCCCTGTTAAGGATGGCTGGTCAACTGACTCAAAGAGTTGCTCTCTCCCTGCTGCTCTTCCTAACACCAGCAGTGCTATCAACATGGTATGCAGGTAAGTTCTGGGGGCTTTGTCCATCCCTTCCACGGAGGTCACCAACTCCACCAAGACATAGAGGAGGGAAGAACGAGACGACAATGAGAGGTCCCTCACTTAGACCCAGAAAAAAACCGTTAGGTGGCAATGAAGATGACTAACTATTAAAAAGGGCTACCAACCAAGGCCCATGAGGCACCCTAGCAAGAGCTATTTGATAATGCACTGCGCTAACACAGAAATGAAAGAGTGAGAGGGCGTGGCCTTTGAGGCCAGGCTTCCTATTCCCTCTTCTCCACTTGCCCTTTTCTTAACTTCCTGACGACAACGGGGTTTCTTGGTCTGCCTGTGTGTTTGCTTGTTTTGTTATATGTTTTGCTTTCTACGCAGAGAGTTGAATGTTGAGTCTCCCAAACACTAGGCAAGTTCTCTACCACCAACCTCTATCCACAGCCCACTGACAACTTCTTAGATGTTTTTAATAAGCCAAAGATTCATTAATATTAATTCTTTCCTGAGTCAAATATCCTTGTCAAGACTACAAAATAGAATTCAGATCATGTATTTCTTTCAGAAAAATATAAGGGACACAGACAATCTACAAAGGGGGAACAAGACTCCACCAGACTCCCCTCCTTTTCTTTCTTCCTTTCTTTCTTTCTTTCTTTCTTTCTTTCTTTCTTTCTTTCTTTCTTTCTTTCTTTCTTTCTTTCTTTCTTTCTTTCTTCCTCCCAGGGTGTCTATAGGATTTGTATAGCCTTTTTGCTAACACAGTCAATGACAGTACAGATCACATTCTCTTAATTAGGAACTCCATTCTCTTTGAGTTTGTTCCTTATTTCAGAAAGGATGCAGCTTTCTGGAATCCTGAATATTTCACTCTGCACCCCTGGGAGACATATCGAGCCAACAAGAATGGTCTAAGGAGGAGAGGGGGGTAGAACACAAGGCGGGACAAGGAAAGGATACTGAACCACCATACAGAGGTTTTTGATCGGGTTCCAGTGGCATTTCAAATGCTAAGAATACTCTGTGGCCTGCAGTGTCTGCCCTCATAGGGGCTGGAGAGAGTGGGGGAATGAGACAGTCCCAACCAATGGGGTTAGGAAAATATCCAGAGATGAGTAAATAACACACTGCAACCATCACAGCCACCGCCATTGCAGCTAAAATTTTCCACATCCCCCTAGCTCCTGGTAAAGGCCTTTGGCAGCAGCTCTGTTTGTCTGGAACAGCTGCATCCAGCTTTCAAACAAGTATGCAAGCTTCTTCCCCTCTTTGGCTTAACCTGGCCTAGTAGGGGGTAAAGCACAAGGGCTGACATTCAGCTGAAGAAATTCCAATCAAGCTCTTGGCAGAGGCACACTGTTTGGGGTTGAGAGAGCCCCAAGTCTTCAGGAGATAAATATGCAGCTCTTCTCCCCAAACCCCTGCTGGCTTCAATCCAAGTACAGAAGAGCAAAATCTACCCCAAAGCCCACAGAACTAGGAGAGAGAGAGAGAGAGAGAGAGAGAGAGAGAGAGAGAGAGAGAGAGAGAGAGAGAGAGAAGATCCAATGGTTCAAAGCCCAATTCTGAACATCTGTATTTAACTCATTAAAGCCTGAAATATTAGAGTTTTTCAGACAAGGCATTACAAACGCTCACCTTCATGTGAGGTTCTCAGAGGGCTGTTTGCAAATCAGACACTCCTCACTTTTCCACGAATCACCACAGTCAATACTTGTTGACTTGTGAGGAACCCAAGCTGCTAAGTCTTCGGCAGCCCTACAAGCCTTCTTAGAAGGCTGCATGATGGTAGATACTTGTAGATTTAATGATTCTTCCTTCACTGCTGGCTCAAACACTGGGGTGGTGTCCATTTGCCCATTCATTCACTCAACAAAAATGTGTCCAACATTGTCTATACCCCCAAGGAGTGTTTCATTCTCTTATTTGGCTTTGTTCTCAAATGGGAAAGGCACAAGGTAAACAGCCAAGTGTGGACTCGGGGCAAGTGAGAAAATGCATCCAGGAATAGTTAACAGAGAGTAGAAAACGTTAGAGACTATACATGAAGCTGAGGGGGTTAAAAAGTGGGTACTGTAGTATTTGTCTTCAGAGGGCAGACATTAATGTGGCTCTTAACATCATTTTCCACTATGAAGTATCTTTTCAACCATACATTCGTGAAAGGCTAGACTTAGAGGGTCCTACTTGGCTGTGGAATCTGAAGGAACCCAGCAACAGACCACACAGTAAGCAGCCATTGGCTGATGCAAAGGAACTGAAAAATATGTTCAAGCAATTGGAATGATACAAAGGCTGTGTCCTTCTGCATAGTTTCATTCTTATAGCCCACTTCAGTATCCAAAAATGTGCATAAAATATTCAAAAGTAGGCAAATAGGAGGCTTGGGAAAGTTGAAGCAGTTAAGTAGCCCAAGCCCATTCCTGGTACATAGAAAACCTAGCTCTGATTTAGCCACCTCCGCATGCTGGTGGAGACTGTAATTATGTGATTGAGTCTTCCCTCAGTTCTCCCACATCCCCTGCAATTCGGAATAGTATAAAATGCATGGTGGTCTATGGTCTCTCCCACCCCACCCCATTGCCACAGTGAAAATGCTAGACTCCAAGGCAGATTTGGGTTCTTTATCCCTTCTGGACATAGTCAAGAATGTCTCCCCTACCACCACTTGAATCTTGGTATCTGAGTCTAAGTCCATAGGGCTCAAACAGTCCGGCCTGGGAGGTCTACTCTGCAATGTACTATCTAGGAGGCCTTGGGCAACTCCCTTTATTCCTCTGAGTCAGCCTCTGTGTCTATATGTAGGAGAGCATTATTGGTGTGTACCCAATTGAGATGTTATGGCAATGGAATGAGCTAGCATATGCTCTCCATAGTAAGAGCTAAATTGTCACTGTCATTACCTTATCGAGACATAGGCCTAGGACACCCTGCTTTCTCTTCTGGTGAACAGCTGGTCCCTGATGAGCGTTTCTTCCCAAGCTAGCTCTGCAATAAGAATGGGGAGACCTAATGCTTTAGGGAAGCAAGCACATCTGGCCTCCTGTTTACAGGAGCTGTGAGGGGTTGAGGCTAACCCTAAACTGAAACGGCTGACAGGGAGTCCATGCTGCACAAACAAACCTCCCCTGTGCGAAAGAGAAGAGGAGACCTAAGGAGAAGTAGAGGCAAGTCAGACAAGCCGAAATGGGAAAAGAGCCAAACTGGAGAGAAAAAGTGAACCCTTTCCCCTGGAATGAGGATAAACCAATGTGGACATGATTTCATAAGACAAACTTGCAATCTGATTCATCTCCATGTTTACCAAGTTGGACTGACATCCACGCCCACTCCCCCCCCCCCCACACACACACACACTCTCCTAGCCTGGGCGACGGGGAGGCAGGGAGCTGCATCAGATAGTCCTTTGCTCCACCCTTTGGCGCAGGAGTCCCTGTGCCTCTGGCCAAGAAAAGCCTACAGGCTTACATTCTGTGTGTTTACCTAGGCCAAAGGGCTCCAGCTCGAAAGCCCAGCCC